GCGCCCCGTCTGGGGATGAGGTTGCACACTTCAACACACGGATTGTCACCCGAGGCGGAAAATGACGAGTCACTGGGCACGCGTGCGCGGAGTTTGATATTCCATAAGAGGGCTACTGCCCATTGTTCACTTCAGTGTTGGAAAAGGTCTGGGGGATCGGCGAGTTCTAATTCGTCCGATAAGCGTAACCCGCCAGATAGAGTTGTTGAGAACGACCGTATCTGACGGTCACTTCTCGATAACGCTCCCCTGGCTCGAACGCTGTCACAACCCGAGGAATAAGGACTTCTCCGAAATGGCGATATGGTAGAATGTGGAACGCAACTTTTCCGTCAAATGAATGACGTCCGCTTTATGCCCTTGGGCTCGATCGAGCGTCTGCTGCACTTGTACTCATCTCTTGCGCGTTTATTGTTAATATAGGAAATTGCTTGTATGGCGGTCTTCAACTCTCGTTTTCCCGAAGACTATCGTTGATTGGTAACTTTACTAGTGTTGATGAGGTCTGAACTACCTTTGCCAATATCAGTTTCGAGGGACCGGCGCTATATAAATGATTTATTCTCTTATCAGCACATTTTGCTTCATCAGTGAATTCACAATATTGGTTATCGAGTAATTTCACCATCCTTTCGTTAGGACCGAATCTGAATTCGACTTTTACGGCAGCTGTTAATTCTTCAACTGAAAATGGTTATGGACTGAAGGATGCGCAGAATGTATCAGAAAACTTGCGTCTTCTATTGGCGTGACTGTCCTCGTGGCTTCTCAGTAAGGACGGTGTTTATCGTGCACTTTTTTTCCTCCTTTGTCCCGGTGATTACGTGTCTGGACTTCCAGCACACGCGGCGGGCAAAGTGCCCGCTTTTTGTTTTATTGCTGTTGACGTCATGCTCGGCTGGGCACAAAGGGTGAACGATTTGGGCACTTTCCCCAGACAGCGAGGGAAAGGAGGGCGTGTTGTCTTGGTGGGGAAAGAGTAAGGGGGTGGAAAATGGCGTTGCTTCCCTTTCCGCCACTAAGCAACGAAAGTAGGGAGCATTTGCAGCGTGCATAGGGACAAAGAAAGACGCCCCCCAAGACGATCCCTGCCCTACCACACATACAAAAAAGGGGTCTATTTGGCTAAATCATAGTACGGGAGAGGGGGTTCTTTTTTATATTAGTGCGTTTTCTTATTGGGGGGGGGGGGGGGGGGGGGGGCCTTTGGTACTACAGTGTCGCTTTTGTTTTAGCTTTGGTTATTCCTCTAAACAGGGGAAGGGGCAAAAAAAAATAAAAAAAGAGACTTCCCTAAAAGTAGTATTATGAGAGCTAAACACAAAGGGGAGACGAGGACGGACAGCCTGTACACGTCCGTGATTGTCCCTCCTCTGTGTTTATCTTCCATATTATTTCTTGGTTTGTACGAAAAGTGCGCTTCTCTGGGTCTCGGCTTCTACGGTGTCGCTTGTGTTTTAGTGCTTTCAGTCCCCGTGGATAAGGGATGTGGTGCAGAAATAAAGTTTAAGGGAGACGTCTTCCGTGTATCTCGATTCTCGACACATAACGCGAAGTAGACTTTTTCCCCAAAACGCAAATGTACCGCAGTATTTTTTTTTTTTTGCGTGTTTGCATTAACGGAGGAGGTAAATGCTCACTGTGTCACATAATAAAAAACTTCCGCCTTTTTTTTTTTTTTTTTGCATGCGGCGTTTTTACGTTGGGATATTCCCGCGGCCACGGGGCTGACCCGCGCGTTCGGCGTGGTCGTTCCGTCGTCGCGACGGCGTCGGCGGGTAGTAGCGCCGGCGTCGCGCCGGCGCCTCCATGAGTCACGCTGACGTCGCCGCCGGCGGTCGACGACTTGGATCGATGCGCGGCACGCGGTCGCGCTGGACTCCGGTCCTCGGAGGCTTCCGGGGACCCCTCCCTCCCTGCCCGCGGAAGCACCGACGTCGGCTCTGGAGCATGTGTACTCCCCCTCACTGCTTGTGTGTGTAAAGAAATTTCCTTGGAATGGTGCGGTACAGTGGCTCTCAACCACCGATGTTTTGGGGGACCCCTCTGGATCCGCAGAAGTGATTACAGTGGCAAAAGCGGTTAAAGGGGTACTCCCCCGTTTTTTTCATTGTCTCCGATTTGCTTGAAATTTTGCTAAACTAACCAACAAACATTGCTAAAATAGTATCCCAAATATTGGGTCAAAATATTGTTTTTTCGCGAAGTTATTTAATTTACAGTTCTGGTCTTCACCATGCTTTTCACACTGAAAGTCTCTACTGGCAACAACAACAAAGTGACGTCAGTGGAAGGCAGGGGTTAACTTTTTGGACTACAGAAGTTGTTCCCAACGGATTTGAAGCAGTTTCATGGTGTCAAATGAGTGCTTTGGAAGCTCGCTCCCGTATCCGCGCTCCAGCACGGAACAAATGATTGGCATATTCTATTTTTAGACTACTTGCTCGACTGGCAAGCCTGCCTGCTACTGACGTCACTGCGCGAATATTTGAATATTGGTTTTTGCACCATTTTCATTTGCCGATTTCACAATACCTACTATGAATTTCGCGATGCTAAATAGCATACCGGAAAGGCTAAAGGCCGGGAGTCAGAAAATATAGATAGTTGAGGTACCTCAAAAAAATCGGTGGAGTACCCCTTTAATGAAGAAGGCTAAATGCATGCAAACCAACTACCAAACTCTGAAACATTGACTGGTCAACTCTACTCACTCGGTGCACATGCGAGACATTCAACATGAACTTTAAAAAAAAATGTATATATTTTGTTGCTTGGTTGAGGAGTTTGGGAACCCTAAGAAGGCCTTCGGTAACCCCGAATGGTCCGCGCACACCCCCATTTGCGGACCACTGGTGTTGTATATAAGGAGGAGGGGTATGTAGGCTACCTGGTTAGAGAACATCATTATCTAAAGCCTGAAGGCACAGAAAGAAACATCTTGTCTGCTATTTTGTTTCTTCGTGTCTTAAAAAACCTCTGAAAAGAAAAAAAAAATTTTTAATACAGAAGTAATTTTAGTATTTCCAAAAGTAATTGGACTACTCTTGCAATTACTTCCTAATAAACATAATCAAACTATTACTAAAATTACTTTTTAAAATAAATTTGATTACTTGTGAAGACATGCAATTAGTTCTTCAGTAATACTTTCACACTGCAGGAAGGGGTTACTTCCTAATAGCAGTTTGCTGATAGCAACATTTTTGGAGTGGATCAGAGCTTGCTGCCCCAAGCTATGAAGATGGCTTTCCCTTTGAAGTTCCTGCCAGGAACTGAACATATAATACTGGTGCATGTTAGTGTTCACTTACAAGATTTATTTAAAAAAAATGAGTGCAATAAATTTGGTCTTATTTTTCACAATCATTTGAATGAGTCTCGCACGTAAATATTGTGAAGTTATATTTTCGTCCTATACAGACACTTAGAAAAACTTTCTTATGGGTGTTCGGCATACTTTGAATGGGGCACTCCCCTTCCCATGGGCCTGGTTAGAGCCGGAAGTTTAACTACTTTTTTCATCGTTTTGCAATGCTTGTTTATACGAGGCTTCAACAAGCTGCACAAAAAAGTTTCCCCAGTTGTCAAAAACTGCAGCGCTGCTATTTTTGTCCATACAACATACCGCAACTGTTCATTTAAAATTGGCAATTTGCACAAACATTGGGAATGCTCGCTCTGCCTCCAGACGTTTGTTGCCCTCACTATGAATTCTGGGCCATCTGATGTGCCCGTTTGGTAGTTCTTTCCTGTGTGGTACTGTTGGAAACATTCTGAAAGGTGGGGAACAACAAACATCTGGAGGCCAAGCAAGTGTTTCAATTCATTTTCCTGCAAGTTGTCGATCTTGAAAATAGAGGTTCCGAGTCGTCATAGGGGTGGTATGACCCTTCATTGGGAATGCTAGTGCACTCATCAAGTTCAAAAAAAAATTTCTGTGTTCCTTTATTGGCCAACGCAGACCTCAGTGTTGAGATTGCGTTGCCCCTTTTCTTTCTGTGAGAATTCGAAACGGACACAGATTAGCCCAATGAATCGAACCAATAGCGGTTGCGCCGCCGTAAAGTACCCAAAAAACGTTTAGCCTTCCCACTTTGGTAAAGAAGGAAGACCAGCGAAGCTGTATTATGGTAGGAATGAAGTAATGGCCGGCCGTAAGTCGACAAGCCAGAGTGGAAAGGCTCGAAAGTTTGCACCATCTATGAGCGACGGCGGCAAGAGGACAGCCGGCAAACACAACACTCTAAACAGATACTGCCATCTATGAGCGACGGCAGCAGCCAGTTTTGTGTCGACATTTCTTTGCGGGGGACAGAATGCTGGGGAAACCAGCCCTTAAAGGGGGGGTGCAACGATTTCCGGACTTCGGTCAAAGATTTCTGGAAGTTTCCCTCTGACACTTCTGAGGTAACGAACAGAAAACAGATTTCGCCTGCGTGTCCTAGTTATTGCATAAAAAAAAAGATAAAGATTGGCATTTCGGGCACCCCTCAACTCACTCCCAGCCTTCAGGGTTACACCTGGTCCCCCTCCTAGTGACGTCATTCGGAGTGCCGTGTAGGTTCCCTTGTGCTCTCTGGGAGGACGCTTTCTCTCCCTCTCTCTGCTGACATTAGCGGGCGTTATGCTGCAGCTTAGAGCCGAGCGAGGTCACGTAATCTTTTCGCCGTAGTTCCTTCGGCTGTCACTTGGGGCTGCAGGGGGGGGAAAAAGCTAGATTTTAGCTTTGCGATTATGCAGCGGAGTCGCATTTTTAGTGAAGGAGGTGGTTTCTTTGTCCTCCGGGACACGATAAACAACATGAAAATTATGAGATGCTAATTCTTCTAATCATAAAATCGTTGCACCGCCCCTTTAACAGCTCCGTTGTAAAAGCTCGAACACCGAAACACGAGCTAGACGCGTGGTTGGGCTTTCCGGTTCGCAACGGATGGCACACTCGCGATTAGTAGCCAACGGGTTGAACGTCGTTCTCGTTTTTTTCGTTTTTGGTGCAGCGACGGAGGTGCGTGCCACAGAGCAGAGCAAGGGCGGCCTCAAGTACGAGCTGGTGCTGGCTGAGCCGAGCATGACAGAGTCCCCCATCAGGCGTCCCACCACGCCCCCAAAGAGCATCTCTGCCGAGGACATACAGAAGAAGCTCAAGGAGGCCGAGGAGAGGCGACAGGTCGGTGTTGTGAATGATCAATTATGATGTCGTCAATGTATCAATATCATCATATTACGATATCAACACATCCTAGGAGACAGGACCCAGGTCTGTCCTCATCTAAAGCCAGTCACACTGCTCATACATTACACAACACACGGTATTCGCTACAGACAGGACGACAGAATTGTCTGTGAACGCACCTCGTGTACGTTTGAAACTCGTTTGCTTCATGCGTGTGTGTGCTTCGAATATCTGTACATCGAGTGTGCATGCCACGCGTTAAGCCACTCGCTAAACTAACCGACGAAGAGCGCATTGAGTGAAGGCGCCACGCGCTTCACGTGCAACACAATTGCCTGGCAATTTGCTGTGCATTTTTGGACGATGTCTTGGCAGTGTTCGCAGCTTTACGGCATCTCCAGCAAACTCGTCGTCTGCCACCTAGCTTCAGTTTGCGTCACTGCAGGTGTACCTTGTGGCATCTCGCAGCGGGTGTGATGCTAGCATGCAGCAGTACCAAGGCACGAGTGTGTTGTCCCTGAGCCTGGGTGGTTGTATGCACATGCAACCTTTGTTTCGCTGCGCTGCCCCGGCGTGTTCCTGGTCCCATTTCGCTCGCTATTTACCGCTAGCCACCTCGGTGGCTCTGAAGCAAAGCGCCGGCCTACGAATCCCCAGCTGACAACTCCCCATGGCAGCAAAACAAACTCTCCTAACCTGTCGTCTGCCTCCTTTCATCGCTCTTCTGTTGCTTGCTCTTTGTTTCTTTCTTTGGGGACCACCAGTGTAGGCGCTTACAATTTGCTGCATGCTGCTCCTGTCTTTACTCCCCACCACTGGTAGGGGGTTGATTGAGTGTTCCAAAAATTTTAACACCCCTGCCCCAGTGCATTGCCCCACTTGCATTCCCTTCTCTCTGCCATCTATACTAATATGGTTACTTGATGTTGGTGATTTTTGGATTTGTTTGCTGGAATTTTGAACCTGCAAACTGCAACTCTTCAGATTTCATTCAAGATTTTTGTATATGTCTGTTTTGCTTTAAATTTCGTGTTGGCCGTTTGCCTTCTCGTCGACCCCACACTGCTCCCCGCTCCCCTCCCCCTTCTACCCGTACAGTGTGGGGAATGGTGGGGCTGTTCCGATGTATGCTTGGGCCAGCTCGTACAGCCCATACATCCCGGTAGCGCCACTTTTCCTTCTTTTATGACCGCGAATTTGGTACATACGGGAAAAGAGGCGAATGCATCTCAAGGTCAATACATACCCTGCTTTTCTTTTATCGTCCTGCTTTCTTTGCATTTTGAAATTGCCAAGCATTAAGCCAGCATGAATCACTCCTTCCATTTTGTGTACCCCTTCACGTGCCATAGTGCGTCGAAAGGACGAGGCGCTGCATGTTTCTGGAATGATCGCCTCGTCGAGTCGGACATTTCGACTTCTTGCTCCTGCACCCCACAGGAGTTTCTGATGATGCCCGACGCGAAATTGAATCTCGAATGATTGTGGCCGACGTGGTGCAGAGCCTGGAGGCACAGAAGCTGAACATGCTGAACGAGAAGATGAGCCGCCTGGCCGAGGTGAACCAGAAGAAGGAGGGCTCGGTCCAGGAGTTCCAGGAGGCCGCCCGGCAGAACTACGAGAAGAAGATTGAGGCCTTCAAGGAGAACCGCGAGGCACACATCAAGTCCATCCAGGACAAGCAGCGCGAGCACGTGAGTGTGCATTAACCCTGCTGCTTCTCGATTGGGGGGGGGGGGGGGGGGGGGGGGGGGGGCTTCGGGACCCCATTTCAAGGGGCACTAAACTTCCGAAACGTGTATTTTAAGTATTTAGGTAGCACACTGTAGTCGCCAAATAATTGTTACCCCCCCCCTTTTCCTCCTCCTCCACAAAAAAAAAAAAAAAAAATCACGTTTACAAATCTAATGCGAAACTAGAGTGCAGCTCTTGAGGAGGGGAGGGTACAAAAAGGAGGGTATGACCCTCCTAATTCATACCCTTCTCTCATACTGTTACTTAATTCGTTCATGGGTGACGTGACACAAAGTCATGACGTCATTTTCCCCTCTAAATTTAGCGTTGAAACTGAATAGCCCTTTTGTGAAATCCCCCAAGCGCCCTGGCCCGCGCACGAGGAATCGTGGGAGAGACTGTCCCTCGCCTGGCCGCTCTGCCTTGATGGTACGTTTACACCTGAGAAGAAATCCGCTGCCGCGGGAGCGAATCCGCTCCCGGCGGCGGCGGTGGCGAGCTGGTTGTGTTTACATCTATTTCCTTCAAGCAGTGCCGGCTGCAGCAGCGGTTCCCGTAACGTCTCGTCAAATAGGACGAGAAGGCGCGAGAGTCCCCGCCTCGGCTCTCTCTCTCCCGGGCGTTGCTGCTCCCGGAAGAACACGTACTCGTGACGTAGGCAGCGTCGCGCCGCGCAAGAATGTCACTTCCGGTCAGCGAAATGCCTCGTTAGGCGGCAGAAATAGGTCCTGGACCAAAACTGCTCGCCGCCGCGTGCCGCGTTTTCTGCCCAGCGTTTCGCCCCGGCCCCGGCGGCAAAAGCTGGACGGATTCGCTGGCGGATCCGCAAGTGTAAACGTACCATGAGATCGCATCGCCTTGTCGCTTGCCTCCTCTTAATCCTCTGTTTTTCGATTCCACTACCTATTTTTATCTATTCCAGTGTATTTTTTATTGCTTCTAAGTGTTATTATTCTCTTCTGCGCACAATATTTTTTGTATGTATATAGTATTTGTGTCTTTATATTGCCTTTTTCGACAAGAGTGCCGACGGACAACATGTTGCTTCGCGCGTCGCTCCCTGGGTGAGTACTACCGTTTCTACCGATTCCTATCTCGCTGTTTGTTAGCTGTTCATGTTGGTTCATTTCACCCGCATGCAGTCAAGAGGAGCCGTTTATGAACACCCGTGCACATGTCGTAGGGGTAGGCAGAGCTCTGAATCAACAATCTCGATGCGAGAGCCGAGTGCGCTGTGATTTGGCTGCCCGTGCTCGCTCTGTTGACTCGCACTGTAGTGTATGCTTTAGAGTGCCGCTTACTTGACCGAGATACAGCACACCGCTTTGTCGCCGCGAACCATTTCTACGATTGTTTGCTAAGCTGAGGCATATGCAACGCTGCGGCGCCTGACAACTGCGCGTTGGGGTGCGATCCCTTTGCAAACGCCGATGGCTCAATTTTGTGGCTTAAATGCGCCTGTGGCATGCCTTCGTAATCTATCTGCTAAGCGGTTGTCAGTTGCCAATGCCTTTTTTCAAGTGCAGAGTTGTGTTGCTGCGAATCATTTGACCGAATGCCCGCAAAGCCGTAACACCGTTCATCATATCCAACACTGTGGTGCCTGACAAACTGCGCGCAGTGGCGCGAGCCCTTCGCAAGCGTTATGGCCCAACGTCGCGGCTTGCGTGGGCTTATGGTATGCCTTCTTAATCTGTCTGCTAAACGGTTTTCTGTTGCAAACACCCTTTTTCAAGTGCAGTCATGTGCTGTCACCCAGGCAGTCATCTTGACCCAAAATAACCTAAAAGGTACACCTTGAGTTGACATTTTGACTAGCGAAACAGAGCTGTTGAAGGAACTACAAGTTTTAAGGTGTCTGCCTGGGTGACATCAAACCTCTACGCTTAAAAAAGGGCGTTGGCAACTGACAACTGCCGAGCAGACTGGTTATGAATGCATGCCAAAGGCGCATACAAGCCGCGACGTTGAATCGCCGGCGCTTGCTAAGGGCTCGCGCCACTGCGAGCAGTTGTCAGGCGTCGCAGCGTTGGATCTGCCGAACGGTGTTACGGTTTCGCAGGCATTCAAACAAATGATTCGCGACGACAGAGCGGCATGCTGTGTGTTAGTCAAGTAAGTGGCACTCGAAGGCACACGCTACAGTGAGAGTCAACGAAGCGAGCGCGGGCGGCTAAATTGCATCGCACTCGTTGACTTAGCTCTCATGTCGCGATTGTTGATTCAGAGCTCTGCCTACCCCTATGACATGTGTGCGGGTGTTCATAAACGGCTCCTCTCGACTGCACGCAGGTCATTCGAACCAAAATGAACAGTTGACACTGCGATATGAATCGGTAACAGCGGTAGTACTCACCCGGGGAACGACGCGCAAAGCGGTGTGTTGTCTGTCGGCACACCCGTCGAAGAAAGCAAAATAAAGACACAAACACTATATATATGCAAGAAATATTGCACGCAGAAGAGAATAGGAACACTTAGAAGCAATAAGAAATACACAGGAATAGATAAAAAAGGTAATGGATTTGAAAAGCACAGGATTAACAGGAGGCAAGCGACAAGGCAATGCGATCTCGAGGCTGAGCGGCCAGGCGAGGGACAGTCTCTCCCACAATTCCTTGCGTGTGGGCCGGGGCGCTTGGGAAAATTGCAAATCATGTATTGGTGTTAAGGTCCAGTGACATTAATTTCTCCTGCTAAATTTAGCAGGAATTGGTTCCGCTAAAGTTGGCGGGGAAATTTTCCCGTTAAGTTTAGCGGAGAAATGTCCCATAATGCTACGCGCGTGGTTACGTTGACGACACCGCCGCTCAACCCAAAAACGGGCAGCTGAAGGCGTATTCACACCGGCGATGTTATCTAGTCGCCCGATAACTTTCATCGCAAAAGCGACCATTGCAAAAAAAAAAGAGATGCAATTTTGGCAGTCGCTACCTGACCAGACTTTTTGCGATTCGATTTAGTCGCGGAGCGGCTGAGCCAATCAAGCGGCGTTCGGAGCTTGAGTTTTTGAGAAGCGACTAACCAACAAAGGCACTGGACTCGCTGATCGCACATGGCAGTGTGACCATTTTTTTGTGCTGCGATCTAGTCTCATTGGACGACTGCTTTACGTCACCGGTGTGAATGCTCCTTAAGAGCTGCTCTCAAAAGTTTTTATAGCACAATATCTCCCTTGAGAGGAGAGGTTTCAAACTATCCTTCTATTTCAGGTTCGATGCCGAAACTAGAAATGTGATCTGGAATTGCTTAAATGAGTTTCTCGATAAAAACATTGTGTTATAATTATGTATTTGGGACAGGGAGGGAGGGTTGGATTCTAAGAATCGATTGGTTCATTCTGATGAGCTGGTACCAAGACATTCGTAAAACATTAAATAAAAAGTTTTTTTTTGTTTTTGTTTTTGTTTTTAAATATTTACGAGTGCTGGTTTTTTCAAAAAGTACATTTACAAAAACTTGTAAGTTGGCTAGTTGGTGGACGTTGTAAAGCATGGTGAGAGGCGCAAAAAGCAATGGACACAAGGAAGAAGACACACTCACGGGCGCCACTCGCAACGACATTTGAAAAATGCAGAAATAGAAGAAATGTATGCTTTTTCTCCCATTTGCAAAAGCTTCAGAAAAAAAATATTATTGTAGCATCAATCAGTGCACTTAGCATTTTGTGCTTCTCTTGTTTTTTTGCCTTGCACTTTGTTTTTATGTCTTGAACCATGCTTGATACATTTATGAGGTTTGCATCCCATCTTACCTAACTTCAAGGAAAGCTGAAGAGGTTTTGCAAAAAACGAGTTGAAGGTGAATTCTAGGGTATTTTTATCCCGTAAATCTGAATACCACGTTCGTTTTCCCCAAAGATGTAACGAAACGCAAGAAGACACGAAAAACCTCCGAATAGTCATTACGTCATACCCATATCTTTCAAGCACCAAGCGTGTGTCGCTCATGTCAGCAGCGCGTGTAGTTGCAAGCTTGCCAGGTATATTCCTTCACACTGACACCAGTTGTGACGTCTTTTTTTGTCTTTTTCGAAAATGGCATGAGTGCACATGTGTAGCTTTGATAGGTGCTAAAGATGCGCGAGAGTAGAGATTCCGAAAACTGTAAATACGATGTCAAGCTCCGGGAAGGAGGGGCTTCAGCGGTACTTTGAAAATGATTTCCTGCATCCTCCGTGCACCAAATTGAAAAATCTCTACAGTGTAGACCGCATATAACGTATGTCGCGGGAGTCGCGAAAATCCGCACTATAAGCGGTACCGCGTTATAACCAAAACATCAATTTTTCAGGCCAACCTAGTCAACCTACCTTTGTAAAAGAATTTATTTTATGTTAGATGAAAAATAAAGCTTAGTTTGAGAAAAGTCTTTATTTCACCAGACTAGTACAGTTCTGTCTCAAGTGTGTCACACATTTTGAAAGAAATGAGCGGCTTTTGCCTGGCGCAGCCTTTTAACGGCGTCGCGGCCGGGTTGCGGACGGACGTTGCGAGCGTTCAGGATTGCTAACCCTAATCACTTTTCTCCGGAGATGAAAACGCGTGAAAATTCGCATCCTTCATACGGTACGCGCCAGAAAAATACCTTGAACTTCAGCACAGGCATGAAATGCTCCAAATAAGAAATCCGGGCGATGTTCGAAAACACAAATGCTTAGAAAGCACCACTTTAGCCGAAGTAAACAAACACGACGACACGGGCGTTTCTGCCGTCTTGAGAGCGCCGCCACATCGCCGCACGAGTAGGTGGATCTTCCCTTCTAGTACGTGCTGGGTTATCATAGCGACACACAACTAAAATTCACTGTCAAGGATAGCGTTTTTACGCGGAACGATGAGATGAACGCCACAACCGACGCCATGTTTGCGGACAGAAGCCGCCGGCCCGCGATTGGCATGCAATGCGCGCGAACACTTCTCGACCTGCGATTGGTCTGTCGTTTCGGTTGTTTGTTCCCAACGCAGCGGAGGGACGCACGCACATGAACGACACGTGCGTGCGTCCTTCCGTCGCTATGGCAAATAGGGAGTTTTCGTAGACCGCGTTTTCCTTTCCGCTAAGCCCTCCGCAACGAAACAGCCGCTACTGCGCCGGCGCGCCGATGGCCTTGACTGTAGAGTTCCGGCTAGCGTAGCTGGTTGCGGAGTGCCGTTGCGGGACAGCGGAAACGATCTACGAAAACTCCCTAATGCTTCTCCGAGCAACCTCCTTGCCCCGCGAGTGCCGTTTGCGGCAAGTTGCGGCTCGCGCCGTTATCTAGTGTCGCACAGGGAAGCGTGCTCGCTGCTCCGGTCGTCGGCGCGGTCGGCGGTCTGTGCCAGAAACCGCACTATAACCGGTATTTCCCTTCGCGCGCCTGCATTTTAAGCGGTATGTAATTACATGGAGTTCTATGGGAGGCGAACCGGTGGTTTAAAAAAACCGCGTTATACCCGGTCCTGCACTATAAGCGGTTACGTTGTAAGTGGTCTATACTGTATATTCGGGATCATGGAGACAAAACTGAGACAATTTGTGTTTTTTCTCAAATAGGAAGTCGCGTCAGTTTCCCTTTTAGCCTTTAACCAAACTAACCAGGACATGCTAATCTCTAGGGAACAAATGGTACACTCGATTGCATTTGCGGGAGGCTCAGCACGCAAGGAGAAAACGATCAATAGCCGCTTCGCAGTGGGACACGTCATGCCGAAAAACCTGCGCCGTCCCAACGCGACAACCGCCGCGGGAAGAACGTTTTCTTTGTTCCCGACTGCCCGTTTTCACTTTGGTCTCTTTGATCGAGCCCTGCGTGTAACCTACCAGTCTTGTGAATGCGCTGTGCCGTTTATGTCTGAACGTATCGTGATCTGGACATGTCCATCCCTGGCAGGTGACCCGCGTGGAGGAAGTGCGCAAGTCCCTGGACACCAACACCCAGGAGATGCTGGCCAGCATCCAGAAGAAGATTGAGAACGCCAGCGAGGCTCGAGAGGCCCAGATCGGGGCCCTGCAGGAACGCCTGCGCAACCATGTGAGCCTTGCACCCTTCTCTGTGCCCGTTTGATAATGAGCATAATTTTAGCCTACAGGCACGTGGCCTACAGATGCCTGTAGGTGGGCTGCACAACCCACTGACCGATGGGCACCGCAGTTTGTGGACTTCAAGTCTTTGTTCACCTCTAAGCTGACAGTGTGGTGGGAGCTATGCACCCGCCGGTCCAGTCGGCTGCCTCCATTTCATCGTCTGACCAAAACTCTCGACCTTCAGCACCGCGTGTGAGAGCAAATCGAATCGCGGAGGGCAGCGCTACCAGGACAAGCAGTTTTCCAAAATTCTTCTGTAGGCTACACTTCGTTCGTTCTGAATGATTGATTCACGTTACGGACTGATCCATGTACAGATTGTTCACGTGACATGTCCACGGTTCATCCGTCTCCCAACCGCATTTACACGAAGGTGGTGACGAGCAGACGCCAGCGAGGATGGACCAAACTCGTTCGTCACCCCCACTGTGCCGCGGAACTCCTACATTTCACCTTGGCACCGTTGTCCAAAAGAGTAATATAGATGTTTGCTACCACGAGAAAGAATCATACGTTGCTGTTACGTACAGATTGAGACAGAACACTTCTTATAGGCTTCATGCAAAATGCCACTAGTTTTAGTAATGAAGCGCCGTTCACACACTTGCAGCCGAATAAGACTAAAAGAGACAAGACTGGTTTTTAGGCCTCTTGTAATGGCAGAGGACCAGATGCGCTGGCTGGGCAAGTCCTCTGTCGTCGCACGAGGCTTAAAAACCGGCCTTGTCTCTCTCCGTTTCACTCGGTTGCAAGTGTGTAAACGGTGCTTTACAGCATACATGGGTAAATTACTTTCAAAATGTAATTCAATTACAATTACAATAACTTAGCTCCAAAAGTAGTTTAACTACAATTACAATTACTACTACGCAAAAGTAGTTCATTGCAATTACAAATTACTTTTTAAAAGTAATGCAATTACTTTACAATTACTTATTTCTGAGAGTTACCCCCCACATTGGGCCATATAACTGTAAACAAGTTATATGGCTGCTGTATAAATGTCACTCATTGTACTTTCCTTTTATGAAATTTGTTAAATGGATTATAGAACTTAATAGTTTGGAGTAATGAACTCCTGCGTTCATATATTCTCAAAACATAAAAAAATGGCGACAAAATTCACAGGTGCGAGGTGAATCTCCTTAGAGCTTATGCAAATGGTATCCAAGTCAAACCAAAAAAAAATAAACTTAAAAATAATACAAGGAAACAAATATGCGACAGTACTGGTATCATAAAACTCACGTAAAAATGGCTAATAAGAGAAACTTGTTAGCGACGTCAAACATTTAAAGGATACGACAACTTACGAAAACATTTCAGCCACAATGATTCGCTGCCTCTCCCTGTCTGTGGACTTGTAACATGCCGGATGTGGGTAACCGTAGCACACAAACTGTGGTTGCTTCCACAAAACTAGTGTCACAATAGCAGCAACTCTATTGCCAGGGATTCTGGGTTGATTCAGTTGACGGTAACACCCAAAAAGCTCCTGAGATAAATAATAAATTTAGGATCGTCATGTAGCTAATCATTAGGGTAGCAATGATTGTATCGATGTTATGCGTCTCATAAAGAAGACCGATTTGAATTTAGCATGGCAAGAACAACCTCGAAAAATTCATGATACACTGCAAACGACTTTATTTTCGCGAATTTCGCGAATCGCCTACAATTCGCGAAAAAAAATGTAAACACATTGGAATCTATATCGCGACCGCACCGCGTCGCGAAAATTAGAATCCGCGAATTATTCCAAAACTGCGGCTTCTTGGACGCCTCGATTTCACGATTTACTTGAGCGTGTTTCAGCTGGAAGATATAGACGAGCTATTATTATTATTTTTTTATAACTGTAAGTATTATTCAAAGTAACAAGAAAGTTGCCTACCTGCAAGTGTTTCCGCAAATTGGAGGTCGCCTTTCGGTTTATTGAATTTGTTTTCAGAAACGATCCGGAGAGTTTTCTCCTCACGATTATAGTTTTTTACATTGGTGCTAATCTGTTTACAGAATTTTTCGCAACAAGGCACCAGCAGCCTTTCCTTTTCCATTGTAGATAAGACTGTTGCAGCTTCTCAATGCAAAGCAGCACTGCGCGCCTCGGGGCGGTTCCACAGGCCAAGACGAGAGGACAACGCGTGGAGGGTCACGATAGAGGTGTAAAACCAAAGTCAGTGATGTGATTGCTGCGCCAATTGCGCCAAACTGCGCCTAGGGGCTAACCCTGCTACATCCTGCTACATTTTACCAAAATATGGGTAATCTGCGCCAAGCCTGCGCCCAAGGGCCGATTTCGGTCGCCTTTCAAGACCGAAACTAAACTGAGAACCACAATTGGGCATGCGTGAGCTAGGTGGCGCAAGCGGCCTCCTCACACTAGAGTTCCTGTATGTAGCTACCTACGGTAGCAGAGTTGCGCATTCAGCCTCGGCGGGTAACCGTAGCGCCGGCTTTCCTGCACGCCCTGGACGCTTTGCTCCCCACGTCACTAAATTTGGCGAATAGCGGCGCTGCGCGCGCCGCCGCGCATGGAAAACAGAAAAAGAGAAGGAGGCGAAAGCAGGGAAAAACATACGCCGGGGCGCGAGCAACGTCGGCGGAGCGACCGTAAAGGTGGCTTTCTTGCACGGCACCGGATGCTTTGCTCCTCACGTGATAAATCTCGGCGAATAGCGGAGTGGCGGCGCGGGGAAAACAAATGCACAACTTTGCTCCCCCTTCGGGGAACTCTACCTAACACAATGTACCCCGCGTCAATCGTCCATAACCCCCCCCCCTCCTCTCTTGTATGGTTTTTCCCGCCGTCACGCGTTTAGTGCCCTCGTCGTCTCGGGAATATCTTTTTTCTAATTTTTTCAACGATAGATGCGGACAGTGCGGACGCTCCGACGCTAGTGTGCCGGGTGCCAGGAATGCCGTTATGCTGTGAAACAAAACCACGTTTTTGCGCGGCGAGAGTTACTTTATGAGCTGAAACGCTCGCGCTACCACAATCACTGGTCGCGCGACGTCGGGTGTTGTCGTCCCCACGTCGCTACAGATATGGCGCTTTCTAAACGTATTCATCGACATTCCTGTCTTTGTTTATATCATACTCTAATACAAAAATCCCTCTTTGACTCAATGACTGCTTATCGAAATATTAATTACGTAGGTTTCTCTCGGTGGGCTTTCTTTCGAGAGAACCCCGGTACGTGAAAAATCTGCCGCGAAAGAAAGTTGGTGAAGAGAAGAGAGCTAAAGCAAAGAAAGCTGTGTCTGCACGCTGAACCCGCACAGCGCGCTTGTTCGTCTCGAGTTCAGTCGTTGCACAAAGCGCTCCAAGAACTTTTTGACCCTGGCTCGTGCTGTCATGCATCGATGCGCTCAGATTCTTTTTTTTTTTTTTTTTCTGTGTGTTTAGCTTGTTCTCGCCTTCTGGCCTGGCAAGCACGCGCCGCTGGACTGTTTTTTTTGTCGTATGCTGCACAGTTACATTTTGCATACTACGACCACGACAGTGGCACCAGCCGGGACGCTTTCGATTCATTGTTTTACGTTTGCTTACTTTTGACGAAAATCTGGCACGTCGGGAACCAGTAGAACGGTAGCATGCGTTCTTTTCGGAATTGCTCGGCAACGCCTACAATACACTTGTGGGATGTCTCAGCAGTAAAAGCACAAACAGCGTGTTCCGTCAGAACACAGCACAAAGTGCGTTTCGTTTGTCTACCACTTAAAACAAATATTTTTATTTTTCTAAGAATATCTGCTCTAAAAGCCACTTTTGCTGCTCCGAAACACCGTTTTGGCTGCTCCAAAAGCCACTTTTGCTGCTTCAAAACACTGTTCTGGCTGCTCCAAAACACTCTTCTGGCTGCTCCAAAACACTGTTCTGGCTGCTCCAAAACACTGTTCTGGCTGCTCCAAAGGCCACTTTCACTGCTCCAAAACACTGTTTTGGCTGCTCCTAAAGGTGCTCCGAAATGGCTTAGGCCAATCACATCACTGCAAAGTGCAAGCCAAGCCCTCTATAAAAAAAGAAGCCTTCAACAAACAACAAATGCAAAAACAAGCTCCCTACAGCTAAAGCCGCGGTTTGTAAGTTTTGGAATCTCGTCCAATCAGGCTGACAAACGGTTGAAGGGGTTAGGAAGAGCGAACACTAAATAATGAAGATTTATACAAAAAGGTAGACTAGGATTGGGAGAAGGAAAAGCAGTGTAGCAAGAACAGTTGGAAGTAAGGCAGGGTGAGTCGTGTTAATGAGACCTGCTGCTTCTTTGCTTCTTCGCCTCGATGTTAGAGTAGCACGACTTACTGTTAGTGGTATCAACATACGAGATAGAGGAGAAGGACGTGAAAAACTCACAAAGAAAAGAGAATAATTTCATGAACAAAAAAGTTCCAAACTTGACTGAAATATGTAAGTGAATATGCTAGCGGCGAAGACGCGTAAGGAGAACCTCGAACCTCCTCGCCTCGACCGGATGATGTGATCGGAGCCAACCAGCTCGACTTCGACCTCCGATGCCCCCGTGTGGGAATGAGAAATAAGAAAGAAACTTAGAAGCAGGAGCAACAGGAAGCAAACGAGACGAAGAGTCAGATTCAACTACGACAGGAACGAAAACGGACGCGAATGTAGCCCTCATTTATCAAATTATTTTTCGAATTCTTCATTAAATCGTTTTACAGTCTACAAAATCCTTCATTCCGTTCTATCCCAGCCTCTCTTTCCCATCCCTCTTTTCCATTTTTTTTAGCAGGTTGGGAGACGCTCTCTCCCATGTCGCTTTGGCAGTGTTGTCGTCTCCGTGGCCAGGGGGCAAAAGCGCCGCCGCCACAAAATCTTGCAAAAGTAATTGTAATTGTGCCTGAAATTTAGCAATTACTGACGCTAGAAAGTAATTAAATTACAATTACAATTCCTTTTAGCCAAAAGTAATTATTACAATTACA